ATGCTTTACCAGGGGAATTTACAGGGAAAAAAATCCAAAAAAAACCCAACCAATGTAGCTGATTGTGAGAGTCAAAAATAAATGCAGGGCATTGAAGATGGGAACCCAGCATTCTGCTCTGAGGTCTCTGTTCTCACTGAAGGTGGTAGGAGGCAGTAAAACTGTTACCTGCAGAAATTTCCATCTGCCTCTGGAAGGGTCAGAGAAGCCATGGGATTCTTGAGAAGGTCTGTCACAGTGTTATCCTTTGGTGTCACATAAAAGAAAGGGATTCCAGTGCTGTTATTGATGGGACCATCGCTGAGAAGTAAACAGTTCCCATAGGGCATACCTTGGATCTGCAAAATCCAAATAAACAACTGGTTACCTCTTTGCACATAGACACTTCTCAAGGGGGGGATTCCCTCAAGGGCTCTAGCAGAGAGGACAGCCAGCCCCATTGCTCCCACTTTCTGCTATCATCACGAGAGCATTTCTTCTAAATTAGATCTATCGTGCTTCTATGAAAATAGATCTCTCTTCTATTTCTTCTCTCTAGTCCTGTCCATGACACTATCAGGAACATTTTCTCTTACACTAAGCTTAAAGGAACTACCAAATTAAAAATGTTTAAGTGCATGAATTTCTTTTTTTGCTGCCATTGATGCCAGAAAATGTTTATTCCAAACCACTGCTGGTATCTTTCCTTAAACCCAAAAGGATATAGAGCATAATTTAGCCTGCTTTTTACTCCAATAGTGCCTCCTCTTTTGGTTTTGACTTGCAATGTGATTGCATCGGTTTGCAAAAACAAGAAAGCATTTGACTTAGAGTTGTGTTTGAAGTCAAACTGGACATCAGCTCAGCTTCCTGGGCAGAAACATCAAGTCCCTGATGGGTGTCTCAACTACCAAGCCAGCCAAAGTAACATCTCCTCTCATGGCAGAGAGGGGACACTAAGGAGCCAAGTTTTCAAAAATATTTTCTCCCATACACTGCCCTTATGTACACACAGTGGTTATAATGCATGCAAAAATGTCCTTGCCCAGTAGTGACACTCATTAATATGCTTCAGAATGACATATACTCCTCCTATGCTTTTCATCCCATTGTAAATAGCAATGACAGGTATTCAGTTAATTGCTCCTTTTTTTCATGTGTTCAGATATTTTTTCCTCATGGTCTATTAAATGTTAAACAGTAAAATTATCTGTCAATACATTAAATCTTTTATAACAAAATCAAATTAAATATGAATAGTTAATCAGAAAACCCTGGATGATGTTGTTACCTGGCAGCATGCTTTCTGATTTTTAATGTTTATATGCCTTTAAAATTTTTATGCTTATAGTGCTTATAAATGGTCTTTGTTGGCTTCCCTTAGAAATAATGCTTTAATGATATTACATAACTTAGAAAATACAAATCCTTGTTTATTATTAAGAGTTTCAATTTCAAAAAAAGGCTCTCAGTAATATTGCAGGATGTGTTCCCATTGCTTAAAATACTCAGTCTGTCATGCAAGGTTAATGTTACTCTGGATTCTCAAAAATAATTGTGATCACAGGCAGCATAGTTCAGCATTCAAAGCAGCAAACACCACCCTCAAAATTTCAAATTTTATTATGAATCAGATTTTTCTGTATTACTTCTGTGCTCTGTCTGGAGGCAGATAACTGCAGACTATATTATGGCTATAATTCCACTGAGGGTTTCTGGTGAGAGCATAAACCAAGTTACGATCATATGGCTTAATAGGATTTCCAAAAACTGATGTAGAATTACAGGCCTCTTCTGTCTGCCTACAAATAAATTTAGTAGTATCTTTTTGTCAATCTGTTACTTTGTATTTCACAATAACATTAACTGCCACTAACTCCGCCAAGCTTCCAGAAGACTTACGTGCTTCTAAATTTTTTTCAAAATCATGAGCTAATTAATCTGTGAATACTTTCAACAGAAAGTTAAGAATGTATTTTTTTTTTTTTATTTCTCTTTTTTTCCCCTTTTGTCTGAGTGGTACTGGATGTGGGGTCTCATCCGAACGTTTCACTTTAAAAAAGGAAATATTTTAAAGCTGGAGAAAAGAATGACCCCAATAGCAGCCCAGCTATTTTGTTTATTGTTCCTGACAGAGAAATCCTCCTTTAAGCTGGTATAGCTGGACGGACGGGCAGATTTTGTGGTAGCCCAGCAGGCTCTTCTCCTTCTCCTCCTCATCCTCCTGAAACAGCCCCTTTCCAAACCCTGCGATGCGGCTCTGCTTTCTGGCCTTGAGATTTTACTATTTTAGGTGTCTCTCTGGTGCGGTTTTTAGCGTGCATCCTCCCTCCCTGAGCTCCGAGCACGATTTCTCCTCCGCAGTTTGCGCCGCTCCGTGGTCGGGCGGGTACCGCGTGCCGCGGCCGCTGCGGGCTCCGTACCTTTCCTCGGGCGGCCCGCGTCGCCACGAAGCCCCAGGTGTTGTGTCGGGCGAGGAAGCGGGCGGTCCCGGCCCGTCCCGGAGCCGCGCCGCCCTCCCGCCGGTAGGAGAACATCCTGGAGGGGGCGGCCCCCTGCCCCTGCCCCGGCCGCCGCGCCGCCGGCCCCGCGCCCAGCGCCGCATCCTCGCGGTACGCCGAGGCCGGGTAGCTCTGCTTCCACAGGCCGCCCGCCTCCTCCAGCAGCGCGGGCAGCGCCTCCTCCGTGGAGGAGCTGTGCAGCTCGTCCGCCGCCGCCCCCGCCTCGGGCAGCGGCCACGACACGGAGCTGACCACCACGTACCCCCCCGCGCCGCCGCACAGCAGCGCCGGCAGCAGCCAGCACGGCCACGGCCGCCGCGCCGACATCTTCTGCGGCAGCGCCCGCAGCGCCGCTCCCGCCGCGCCCTCCCGCGGCCGCCGCCGCCTCCCGCAGCGCCTCCGCCCCGCGCACGGCAGCTCCCGATGGCCCCGCAGCGCCTCCTCCCCGCGCACGGCAGCGCCCGATGGCCCCGCAGCGCCTCCTCCCCGCGCACGGCAGCTCCCGATGGCCCCGCAGCGCCTCCGCCCCGCGCACGGCAGCTCCCGATGGCCCCGCAGCGCCTCCTCCCCGCGCACGGCAGCTCCCGATGGCCCCGCAGCGCCTCCGCCCCGCGCACGGCAGCTCCCGATGGCCCCGCAGCGCCTCCGCCCCGCGCACGGCAGCTCCCGATGGCCCCGCAGCGCCTCCGCCCCGCGCACGGCAGCTCCCGATGGCCCCGCAGTCGCGTCACGCCTCGGTGTCCTGCCCCCAGCCCGGGCCGTGCCGCTCTGGGGCCCTGGCGGGTCCCAGCCCACGCGGAGCTCCCTGCAGGGTAACCCTGCCTTTGTTCCTTGCGGGGCTCCTGGGAGAGCGCTGGAGCCCCTGGTTCAGGTGCACGGTCCAGCAGGTATCTCACGTATTAGGTTCTTTACACGCACCACAAAGCCGAGAAGAGGGAGTTGTCCGGGCAGAGGCGGCGCGACCTCTCTGTTTATTAAAGAAAAGACTATCCACGAGGGAGAATGTCCGTGTGAACATTCCCGTTGCAAGGAAAGCTTCGTTTGGGCACTGGGGTCAAGTCACAGCAAGACCCCAAGTCCGAGGTGGCAGGCAGCATTGGTTTGGTGCTTGCAAGGATGCGGTTTTGATATGCAAATTCAGGGAGCTGCTATTAAACGTCTTCCAGGCAAGGTTTTAATTAGGCAAAGATTTGCATGTATATGAGTTTATATCAATAGCCCAATTTAATAAAGGCACATGTGCGTACAGTTCCTTTCTTGGCAGTAGACCTCGTCAATATGGCAATGCAAGGCTGTAATTCTTTAAAACATATGCTTGTAAACTTCCATTGCATTCATGAAAATTATTTCAGGAACACAGGAGACAGGGAAGAATGAATCTCTCAGAAGCCTTTGCCTGTCAGAAGGTTCTCAGGTACATCTTACTTTTTCATATCTGTGAAGAATAGATGATCAGTCTACTGATACAACTTCTGCCTAATTGTGCCCTGAGAACAGGTATCTAATCTAGAATCTAAACTCTTATAAATAAAAGTGGACTGGAGAATACTGATTATTTTTAGCTTATTTTTTCCTACACTCCCTGTTCCCTTTTTTTCCTCTACTATAAAACCTAAGGAATAGTGGAAATGGGTACAATAGGCCTTAAGACCCTAAAACTTTTTTCTGATTGGGAATTTCTGATTCCCAAGAAAATATAATTTTGGCACCAAACTCTTAATCTTTTCTGCAGAGTTGAATACATGACTACCTTTTCCTTTAGCACATGGCCCTGTCTACATCTGCTGCAATACCACACTTTTGAAAATTGATTCCCACTTCAGAGCTTGAGCTGAGACAGAGGAATGGAGATGCAAGTGGAAAATCAATGTAGATTTCCAAACCCAAAATGAGTGAAAGCTTCCCAAGCTCCTGACAAGTGCTTTTCTCTGATTCAGGATATGTCCCTTTTTAAAATATCGAAGCAGTTGTCCCTTCTTGAAATAGCAAGCAGGCACAGACAACTCACTGCAGGCATGCTCTTCAAAAATAGCTAAACCCCCCATTTCCGTGGTGTTTCAGGGAATTTCCTCACACAATCTGATGCATGCAAGATACAAATCTCATCATTTGTATTTACTATTTTCTATGAATTTATGCCAGGGTTTCTCTTTATTAATGTCTTTGCTTGTTACTTACAGAACAAGCCCAAACAATCTAGTTTTGAACATAATAAAATAGTAACATTATATACAGACTATTTTATTTTGGTTAATAGAATTATATGTGAGATACTGACTCTTGTATCCTGCAGAAATGGTAAACAAAGCAGGAATTTCTAAAGACAGGAATTAGTGCTAGGTTTTATATTCAATAAATATAAATTTTAAATTAAACACTGTAGACACAAAGCAGCATTAACACAGAGTCATTCATTTAAGCTGTAGTTTCCAGATAATTTACCATGATTATCTCAGGTAGGTCTTCAGCTTTACTGACAACAGAAATATACAAGAAATACATAAAACCAAGCCACGAGTATTTCACCTTTATCTTCTGAAGATTTATTCAAATAATCCAAATCAAATCACATGACAATTTAAACTAATTGCATTGCTAGCCCGGTTTTACATTTTGTATTTAAAAAAAGAAAGCTCTTTAGTATAAGAGAATGAAAACAGTGTTTCTTAAACTTTATCAAAATTAAGAATGGCATATCATATAGAATGCTACAGCCAGGATGCTTTTCTCTGAAGATTTGCTGTTCATTGGAGGCAGAGAAATATCATTTCATCTTTTTGAGTAAGAAATGTTTCCTTTCCAACTTGAAGATCCAACTTAGTACATGATATAATAATTTTCTCTTCCAAAATTATCTGGATGTGCTGAAAATTAGAAAAGAAACATGGAAATGTTTTGACCATAGGAATTGTAAATTATTTGTTTCTCCCTTCATTGAACAAAAAAGTCTTCTCTATTCTTACTTGCTGAACCTCAGATATTTTATAGATATCCAGCCTTATTTTACATCAAATAAACCCAACAAGAGGAAGCACACATTGGGGTTCATCACAGGATGGCAAAGGTCTGGCAGAGGGGCATATCCCCTTTGAATACATCATTCACACTTCTCACACTTTATTTGTTTTGAAAATGAATGGAAGGGCTCACAGCTGACACACAGTCAGCCTCTCTCCTGATGGGGACTGCTTTTTCATGCTGAAATTCCGGCTTTCTTAAAGTCAGCAGAAGTTTTGACACTGAATTCAAGCAGGGTCATGTTTTTGCTCTCATTTTTTGATCATTTTAGTTAATGATTTCGTTTAATCTCTGTATCCTGGTATATACAGACCTCTCAGATGAACACTTACCATTCCTACAAGTCAAGTTAACTATGTCCTATTTTTTCTCCCTTTTTAACAATCCAAAGTGTTTGATTTGCTCTCTGGCAACAGAGCTAGGAATAGCACACCCTCAGTCTTTTCGTGCCCTGGTTTGCAGTATATTGTATGTTACAAGGTGTGGAATTGGATTAAAAGCTACAGCACAGTGCTCTGCAGATGAACCCACTGCAGGTGTGCTGCTTAATGGGATTTTAATTTGTAACAAGTGAAAAAAAAAAGCAGAACCTAGAATGAGATTTTCTAGATGAAAAAAAAATGCTATTCATGCTGAGAGAAAGCAACTGCAAGCTCTGTGATAAGGAATAAAGAACTGGCCAATTCCCTCTGAACTGCACTTTTATAGATTATGGCTTGTTCAGAGCATCTCTGTTACTGCCACTGGTTTCATCAATTTTGAGTTCATACTATGTGTGTTTGGCTCAATAGCATTTCATCTGCCACACTTCCCTGCTAAGCCACTGTGTACCAATCTTCTACTATCTTGCCCCCCGCCCTCTACATTTTTTTTCATATAAAACCAATGTTTTCCTCAGGAGATGCCACCACTCTGGAATGTATTCTGTTTTCAAGGGTATTAACTCTATTTATTAATTCTATGTATTAATTATTTAAACTATATTTAAAGACAAGATTCATAAATGTACTGCTGTAATGTACTGTTCATAATAAATGGGAAAAGATGGTCTCCCTGCTGAGGAGTCTAATTTATATTCAGCATCAACTAGGAATGGAAGACTAGAAACAGATGGAGAAGGAAGAGGAAGAATAAAGGTGACAACTAAAAGATCAGGAAGGGATCTGCTAAGCCACACATATTGGTGCTGCTGATATCAGGGTAAGGTTGGGAGATTCTTTTCTGATTCGTGTTACCAGTCTTCCCTCATATTTTTCCAGGGTTTTGTAGCAAGACCAAGTGGTTAGCACTGATTTCAATGAGCTGAGTGGGGAGGTGTGATGAACAGATTTTTTTTTTTTTCCACAGCATAACAGGCTGTAGAGAAGGCATAGAAATGTCTTGTGGAGCAAGATTAAAAACCATGGAGGTTGGGTGATGCTGGCAATGGATGGAGTGGAGGATGGGAACTGATGAAAAGCTCTGGGTTACAGAAACCTGCCAAGCCTGCCTAAGGTGAAAGAATTAAAAGCAAAAATTATGAAATAAACCTGAGCAATATGTCAGGCAGCAGAAATGTGGTCCAGGAAACAGCAGTGTGGCTGGTGGATGCTGCTATGGCTGCTGAGATACCCAACAGAATGGGGTATCTGTGCCCAAAGGGGGATTAGTCAAGAGCAGGGACAGATGGTTCCTTGGAAGCATGATGATGATTTTTGGTGGTCAAAAGTCACAGAACAAAAAATCCTCATGCAATGGAAATCTTGTCAGAGGAACTACAGAGATGACAATACAAACAAAGCAGTGGGTGTTAGAGATGCTTTTGGCAACTGTGTTTTTCAGCAACCCGTGGCATCAGTGTGGATATACAAAAGAAAGAATCTGCAATGGTCAAGGTGGGAGCACCATCCATCTGAAGAGCATGAGCAGGCAAAGTGCTCACTCACTCTCTCACAGCTCCTGAACCCTTTTGAGCTGCAGGTTCACATTTTTTGACTCCATCACAAACTGACAGCACTTGAACCACAACATAATAAGTGCTTGCTAGAATCTTTTTCATCCCAGTTATTAGCATCTTGCACATGGACTGGTAGAATGCATCATCTGTTGGGTTATTTGATGTCGAAACTCCTACACTTTCTCAGTCATTCACTGTGTCCTTCCCTCATGCACACCTTCTCCCAAGTCCTCATACTCATTTCACATTTTACACTCTTCTCCTCTTATTCTGAAAGATTCCTCATTCTCTCTCTAATCAGCTTGCTCTGTTCTTGTGATCAGGTACAAAAAATTCAAAACTGGTACATATTTATAAGCACATCACTTCCACAGACCAAACCTGGGTCAAGCCCTTGTCTGATGACCCCTGCCAAAAGCATTGCAGTGGGCATGGACATACAAAAGGCAGCACAGTGAAGAGCACAGGAAATGGGCAGATACTGAATAAAATTTCTAGTGGTTCATTTCCTCATTTCTGACCATCACTGATTTAGAGCTCTCTTGCAAATTGTCAGCACCCAGCACAGTTTACATTTTGACATAAAGGTGGTATGGCAGGATGGGTCTTTATTTTACATTTGAAAAATAACAAAAGCTGTCAAGCATGCCCATCACACAGATAAATCATTCTTGGTTTGTCCTCTGTGTGCCTGCTTTCTCCCCTCCAATTTTCTTTGCTGAGCTAGTCTTAGCATACTTTAAAAAAATTAGGGTTCCTTACAGGGCCTTATAATTAATAAAGATGTTTTTAAAACAGTCAATTTCCACTCCTGTGCTAGTGTATGGAAACTGAATACCTCTTGGGAATAAAATAACTATAGTAGTGTCACCCCCAAAACCTAATTTTCTCTGTGAGTCTTGGTGTCATTAACATTTTTCTTTCACAGTTTTCTGGAAAACAAGATGTTCTCTGAGACATAAGACAAGTGCTCTTACTGCATGGAAGAGAAATATGAAAACAGCTGAATGTCCAATTCATCACTTGCATTAACCACAGAGGCTTGATCCATATTCCCATGTGTTTTTGTATTTTAGCCTTGTATTCTAGAAGACTTAGAGTCTATCTTCTTTTCTACCTGTATGTCTACACCTTATGCTAGTACTTTTGGAGCAGTGGACTGACTGCAAGAAAATCTGGTACAGCAGAAGGGTCTCAAGGATTTCATATTTCTGAAGATATTTCATATCTTTTGATAAAAGGAACAGATAATTGGAGGGAAGAGAGCCTCTCAGTGCTTCCAAAAGTGAGGAAAGACCACACTGTGCTCTCTTTTTTGATGATAAACACATGCAGTCTGTATGTCAGCTAGCCATGGCCTGCTCCCAGCCCACCAGAACAGCACTGCTCTTCCTTAGACAACATTTGGGGAATCAGAAGGAGCTCCTGATGTCTGCTGGCAACAGGAACTTGTGTTGCTGGGGAGGTGGGTGATGTTGAGATTACAATCCATTGATATCATTAGGGGGTGGGGGCAGGATGTGGAGGATGCTTCGTGAGTTGAGGTTTCCGTGACATTGGACACAGCTCCATGCAAACCTGGATTTCATTAGTTCTACTTTACATGCAGAAAATACCCCAATCAGCCACACACCTCCCAATCTGTCCTAATTTGCCCAATTTATAACATTTTCCCCATCATTTTCTCTTAAGTTAATGTTAATTTCACCTTGCTGACAGTGGCTGTGTTCACCAAACAACTCAGAACTCTGGAAAGCATTGCTTAATCCAAAGTTATTCTGGTTCTGCATCACAAGAGCTGTCTGTGGAGCATTGTCTTGAGGTTCCTCCTCAGCAAAACAGGCTGAGAGATGGCTGGGCTCGTAAACACACAGAACAGGGACCTCATTTTGCTTTGCAACCAAGGCATTTCCTTCTTCCTTCTCGTCTTCTATATAGGACTGGAAAATGTGAGCCGCAAAATCAACAAGTAGCATATTCAACAAAAGCCAGGATCCTAGGTTTAAAGAAAAACAAAGATAATTATGACAACCTCTTCATTTGCATATCTTTATGATGTGGTCTTTTTTGAAGGGCTTCATTATAGTAATAGACTAGACAAAGTAATGGACTAGCACTCATCAAACAGTACTTACAAAATTATGTACTTCCAAATATCCCAGAAAAATAAGCACCACTGCTAATTTTAAACATATGCAATTTTTTTTCCCTTATTTAACTAGAGAGGACAGTTGTGTTCATTCACTTTCCTGTTCAAGTTCCTCATCTCCACTCACTTCTACGACAAGGCTTATCAATAGCCACATCTTATCCCCATTCTCCCCTCAGACAGATAAATCATTCCACCTCTTCCCAAGTGAAACCTCCTACAGACATCTGTGTGTGTTATATCTATGACATTAAATGGCCCACCTTGCAGCTTGGACCATAAGTGATAAAAGGCAAGAAAGACTCACTGAGGCCATTGACTTTTGAATCATACCGTGGTTGAAAGCCCTTACAGTAAAAAGTAGATCTTCCATGCCATAAATCTGCATAGGAATTCATCAAGCAATTTATAACCTCTGTATCCCACAAACTAGTTTAAATGGATATCAACAAGGAGATATCACAATTTATATTAATGACCACAGTTTACAGAGCTTTAAAAATGAAAAATACTCTCTTTTGATGTTATATGTGTCTAAGAAGCTGCTGCTTCTGCTGTTCATCCTTTTGAGGATCCTTAAGCTAGGAAAGTAGGAGGAAGTGCTTGTTTACCTATGGAACAAGGAAAGGGATTTTTACAGTTGGAGTTTAAACTATATTGATTTCTTAATAGTAGTTAAGAGTGTTTCTAACAGTCTTACAGGTGTTTTCAATATATTCTTTAAGAGTAAGCATGAAGCCAAAGCTACCACTCCAGTTGTCTTTTGGGATAATCCAGAGGAACACAATTCTCAAGAGGAGCCAGGCTGAAGCAATTTGTTGCAGAAGAGGAATGCACAGCTTACTACTCAGTCCCCATGGCTTGGCAGTGCATCCTTGAGTGCCTTGGAAGGCAGCAAGATGTGTGAGCTGACATGAAACTCCATGAGGGAGGTGTGTAGAGACACATTTTGTGGAAAGGAGACGGAGCTGAAGGAGCTGTAGAGCTCCCATTAGCCCTGAATGCTCCAGCACACCTGCTCCCTGCTGCCCTACAGCAGGGGGAACTGCAGGGCTCCTCTGATCTCACCTGGGCATCCCCCAAGTGGGCGCTGGGCTGGAAAAGGGTGAAAGCCAAGCCTAGATTGAGAGGTGTGAGTATGCCAGTGTATTATGTCTGCTGGATGTGGCAAGCTAGAAGGCAAGAGGTCAAGTCAGAAGCAAGATTTGTTTTGGTTACTGGATTAACATGACACACATTTCCCCAGGTGATTGTGTTTCCTCAGTGTGGATGCTACATAGTTCGTATTTTGAAGAAATGCTGAGATTTAAGACATTTCTGGAAAGCAATGTTCCCAAGTACAGAACTTTTACACCAGATGGCTTGTTAACAGAACTGCTTCAGCCTGTCTGCTAAAACTCAGTGTCCTAAAGGAATAGAAACATGCAAAAAAAAAAAAAGGGACATTGATAGATCAAATACAACATCTTAAGGAGCAAAGAAAGATAATAATGGCCACATTATTGAAGCATCACAGCAAAATATTAAAAAATATTTTTAACTCTCTCATATTTGAAATAAATTCAATTTTAGTATTATTGTAGTAGGAAAACTGTCATAAAATGGGTGAAAATGTAATTTGTAATTAGTTTAATGAAGTCTCAGCAGACCAGGAGATGTGCTCCATCCATTGTATCCCATCCATCAACACAACTGCAGAACAGGGAGGCAATTCATTAAACTCTTCTTGTGGTGGAAAGAGGGAAGAGGATTTCATCATCATGGGGGATTTCAATAAACATTATACTTCCAGTGCAGTTCTTGGAATGCATTCTCAGTTTATTCAATGCCAAAAATACTGCATATAACATTGGAGAGTTTTGTGCAGAACTCCTCTGGAGAGAGAGAAAGGATTGATTGTTTCACCCTTACTGTAATGCAGCAGCTGATGGACGAGGGACCCTACCGTGTTATGTTCCCTGCAGATACAGAACAAAACTCTGATCCTGCTCCAGACAGTTTACAAGTTAACAGAAGGCAAAAGGCAGCAGCTTGATGCAGAAGAGTGTGTTCATACATGCACAAGCACAGGCATTAATGGGGTAAGAATACTGAAGAACACAAAAGGCAACAACCTTGACATACCCCTCTGTTAAGTATTTATAGCAAACAATGAAAGCATGGTTTTGAAGAGGCATTTCAAAGAAAATAATGAGGTTTTCTTTGGCTATTTGTATGAAGCTGCATCCAACAGATGAGTTAAAAATATGAAGTTGCTCCTTTGAAAATCTAAAAGGCATTTAATACAGTTTGGGATTAGATGCAACTCACAGGAGACAGTACATTTCTGCAGAAATGGCACCTTTGCAAGGTGTTACAGAAGAGAAAGGCAGTTAGGGTAGAGATTGGACTGATTTAAGACATGTTTGTATCACTTCAAGCCTCTTTGAGTGAACACAACTGCACAGCTCCTTCCCTTCTCCCACCTTGCACTGGTGTATGATGGATTTGATATTTGACAGCTCAGAGCTCTAAGTGCCTTACAGCCCTAAGATGGAAAGAAAAATAACCCAGCTAATTTTCAGTCAGTTTTTTAGGCTATCTTCAGGCTACTTTTCAGTCAGTTCAATACCTTCAACAGGTGTGGTGCTGGCTACACAAGAACTTAGGTCAGTGTAAGACATTAAATAGGAGGAGCATATATCTGTTGTCTGTGGAACAAGCTGCTTTTTTGGCAACTAGTTATTGCAGTGGCTCTGCTCTGGCTGTATTATACAGAAAGAACCTGGGGGACTCAGAGCTATCACTTGAGATGTCTGGAATGCTTATGGTTTGGAATATTAGTGGCCCCAGATCTCCATCAAACCATTTTGCTGTGGTGTGCACCTCTTGTATGGAGGGAAAGCAGAGGCTCTCACCTCAGGCTGCTGTTCCCTGTTTCCCCACAAAGTACAACTTCTGCCAAAAGAGGGAGTCCCGGCTTTCCTGCCATCTACAGCTTCATGCTCCTGCTCTCCTCTCTTATGCTCATCCTAGAGTTTTGCCCAGAGAACTGGTTTGGTCAAAACCTAATAATTTCATTTCCCTGACTTGTCTAGCCACATCACCAGGAAAATGGTGATAAAAGGAAAGGAGTAGGAGAAGACATGTCTCTGTTAAATGTTGCATGCATTTATGTCAGTTAAAATCATAGAATCACAGAAATGCAGAGCAGTTTGGATTGGCAGGCACCTTAAAGACCATCTAGTGCCAACCCCCGCCATGCACTTTCCAGAGGTTGCTCAAAGCCCTATCCAACCTGACCTTGAACACTTCCAGTGATGGGGCATCCACAGCTTCTCTGGGCAGCCTGTTCTGATGCCTCACCACCCTCACTGTAGAGAATTCCTTCCTAATATCCAGTCTATACCTGCTCTCTTTCAGTTTAAAGCCATTCCCCATTGTCCTGTCATTACATCACCAGCCCTCATGGCCCCCTTCAGGTACTTTTGGATCTGTTGCCTCTGCCATCTCAGGTCAAAATGGGGCATGTCAAATTAGAGTCACAAAGATCCTATTTACCAAAACTGTCTGTCCTGTTGATGGTCAGAATCTTGCCTACATTGCTCAGTAGGAGGTTCCATTTCAACATGAAATCTGATGCCTGCTCTTTAAATGCCTCTTTACTCTTGCTTGGCTGCAGATAAAGAAAAAAAATGGTTTGTGATAAAGTTGGTTAAAAGAATTCCTTTCTGTATGTCAGACCATTTTCCCTGTAAAACTGCATACAAAGATGAAAAAAGCAATAGGTATTTTTTCTATTAGAATCCTAAAATGTCTTAGGTTGAAAGACATCTTTGGCTATTACCTATTCTGATGTCCCAAGTGTGGCCAGCTTAGTTCAGGCCTTGTCCAGCCAAGTTCTGAATATCTCCTGGATAAAGATTCTACAGACTTTCCAGGTAACCTCTTCATATGCTTAATTATTCTAAGGGTAATTTTTTTTATCTTTGTATCTATTGGAAATTTTCTTTCCTGCAACTTGTGTCTATTGCCTTATGGCCTATAACTATGAACCCCCAGGAAAAGTCCCACTCCATCTTCTCTATACCATCCCATCATGTAGTTGAGGCTTATGTAAGATGGAGGCACTACAGAATTGCAAAGCACTATTCTTCATTTAAAAATAAAAAAATAAGAGTAAATAATTAAGCCAAGGAAACACAGTTTACTCTGCTTCTTCAGAAGGGAGAAAAAAACCCCAAACACTAGGTACCCCCCAAACCCAAGTTAATGTTATGGTAACCAACCAAATGCAGCAGTACCAACACAAATTGTGAGTCAGTGAAGGCAGAGGGGTGGTAGAGTTGGTAATCTATTGAAAGGTGCATATGTCAGGATGGTCATACTTGAATCTTTCACAAGAGCTAGAGACTTTCTACAAGAAGTTCTTAGTACTTGCTAAAAGTCAACAGCTTGGTGAAACAAGGATCTAAGGAACCATGAAATGTTCTTCATTTATACCAACATATTACTTCTGAATTTTGGTTTATTAGGGGCTATGATAATGTGTGTATATGAAATCAGAGCAGATACTGAAACGACTAGAGTGGATATGTGCACAGAAATATGCTTGTAGTTGTTTGCACAGATGGAATTTTTGTATGTCAATTAATTCTCCCCTTTTCCACAGCATGCACAAATTGTATTTATGCAAATCTGCAGTCTGGTCAGGTTGCTAGTGTGCAATGTACCTCCTGCAGACTAGTGACAGTCAGCATGTAGCAGGATAAATGATGTGATCCCTCCTTCTATTCTGAAATTATTAATTTTATACCTTAATAACAAAAGTCTGGAGATCTGAAGACAAACAGCTCAGGAGATCACGAATATCTGTGGAAGATGTCAGTGAAGAAATGAAGTTCTTCAAACCTGTGAAACACAGAAGGGAGATCATTACTTGAAGTGATTGGTCTGCCTTTTGGTTTGTTTATGCAGTTTTAAGCTCATTTTTCTTTTATCTTTACCTTAAAATAGATTAAGACATCTGTTTCTAGCATTTTGATTAATATACCATTTCTTTAGCAAGGAATAGTACCCTACTTTGAAATCAGTCAGATTTCATGTGTATTTCCATTTCCAGCATAAGTGCACTGACCTAGTCATCATGGCAAAGGTGGCAAGAAAAAACAGTTCCACTGAGAAAGCTGGAATTTGGAGGAAATACTAACTTATTTATCTAAGATTTCATGTGATTGAGAAAAAAAATCTTGGTCTCACTGTTGAAGGGAGAAAAAATTTTGAAAACAAAGCAGAAAATGCAGAATATTCTGTAGACCAACAGAAATATGGATAGAAATATGGATAATGCTGCCACATATCAGTGCAATTGTTGCCCCAAAAGTTTGGCACCTACCACCCAATGCCAAAAGGTAAATTGCACCTCCCATACTGTATACCCTTTTAATTGAGACCTCTCCCTTCAAGAAAGCATATGGATTAGTTCAGTGAAACCTTGCCTATTATAGATGACAGTTTGGAAAAGCAATGAAAACAGAGAATTCAATAAAATCACCTTGGGAAGACCAAGAACATCGATAATATAACAGAAAAATGTACTAAGTGTTCTATGCAGTGGTTTTGGGTTTAGTATGTATATGTATATTATTGAAATGGTTCTCCTGATTCTGTGAAGCAGACAAGTTATTATTCCTACTGAAAGCAGTCACAGAAAGTCTGTGACAAATCTCTGGTCAGTGCATGAGTTGATGATGGACCAGGAACAAAGAGCTGAGGTTCCCCTGGTTAGTTCTGTGCACAGCCTAGTACAACTTGCCTATCTCTTCCTAATATTTTAAATGGCAGAGCATTAATCTAAAAATTAGGTTGCTGTTCTATTCCTTTTCATTAATCTGTCAAATAATTATGTCACAGCTGCACACAAACTGTGTATTTTATTGTTTACAGCACAACATCAATCCCACAATACAGCAAAAGGAAACCAAAGCTAAAAGGCCTTGTCCAGTTCAGCAAACAGTATTTTAAAATCTGGCCACAAGAAATGATTTTGTGCGCTTCAACTAATAACAGAGGAAAATGCAATCATTGAAAACATATTTCCTGTCAAAAGAAAGCATGAAAAAATATCCCTGCTTGTCAACCTTCTAGGAAATACATAATTCAGTAACACAAACTCCACTCCTGCTGTCACAAAAAGCTTTAAAAGAGTCAGAACCAAAAGCCTTTAATTCTTAAACTTTAAAGTTAGGAGGATATTACCTCATGCTCGATTCTCAATTTTATTGGCTCTTTTCTAGCCCTTCAGGTTACAGGAAGAGTGTAATTCCCAGTAAGGCAGATGTCATGAATAAACAAGAAGAAATGCTGGACCTCTAACAATGACAACCTAGTGCTTAAGAGGAAAGACAATAAATAGCAACAATTAATTACATTTTAATGGTATGTTCTTCTGCCGCTTCTTTGGATTCTTAAACTTCTCTTGAAAGAGGTCTTTGGTCACATCCAGAGATTTCTCATTGAAGATGGCATGCAAGCCTGACCGCAGAACAGTGACTGTGCTGTTGTTGTTCAAGAGTGCTCTTACTGTCTGAACAGAATAAAAAAAACAGTTAATGCCTTTCATTTTCTCAAGCCTTTAACTCAGTCAAATAAGGGAATTGAAGAAGGAAAGCTTCCCTTATTCAATACTAGACTTCATATGACCAGTCTCCAAATTGGGGATGTGGGGGGGTATAGGATCAAAGAAGATAAATCTGAAGTTGTCTTCAAGAGAGTTTTGTTCTGGGAGATGTCCTTTTCAATGATGCTCTGTGTTGTCTGTGATGGAGCAGACAAGGCTAACATACTTGAATTATCTGGGCAATTGCCTGGGCAATTGGCTTTGCCTAGAGTTATTATAATTACACTAAATAATGATATTTTGTCTAAAGTATGGAATGGTGTATTAGGGAGGACTTTCCTTCAGTGTTATCTGTCCTTAATTTATGTTGCAATTTAATTGTCGCAAGTTTTCTCAAATTTCTCAAGCCTTTGAGAGAGTAAAAATAACATTAGAAATGCAGTATTAGTTAAAACAGTATTAGTTGGTTTTTATCCCATTTATCTGCTTATGAGTAATTTGTGAATGAATCTGTCTTCATATTTCTCTCAGAAAGTATTACAGAGATATTGCAAACAATTTTCAGATTAATGTTTATCATAATCTCTTCACTTTTTTAAATTCGTTGCTAACATCACACAATATTCCTTAAGAATTTTGATGAAATGATGAAAACAGTCAAGGAAACTAAATCTGAATCCATTAAATTTTGTTAATAAATATGTTTAGTCTTTCATACTTTCATACTGAGATCAGTAAGATCCTAAAGCTTTTTTGGACTTAAGGTTTTTTTGTAAATAACTCCTATCCAGTTGGGCTTTTCAGAGGAAAAATATTGTTTGTAAAATTCCAGAAGACTTCAGGATTCATACATGTTTTAACAAATCCCATATACCAGGTGCTTAACATGACCCCACAAGCAGCAACAAATGCAGCTGACCATTTCTTTGCAAAAATTATCAATAAAGCTATTTTTCATCACTCTGCTAATTTTTTTTAAATACCAAACTCAATCTGATTCTCACTTAGCAATCTCCTTCATATAAGTTAAAGACAAAGGCATTCTTCTTATTTGACTTGGAGCTTTCAGGGACAGAAAAAGAGCCTGCAAAAAGAACACATGACCCAAAGGCTGGGAACTACCAGGGCAGCACCTTCAGTAGGCTGCTAGTACCTGACTCTGTGCCCACCACTTTAGACTGATCCCTTCAGCCATTGGATTTCACTATATTAAATATGATTCTCCAAAATGACTGAGAGCCAGCCCTCTCAACACTCAAATGCAACTTACCAGAGGCAGGAATCAGCCCCAGAAAATGACAAGCATCACATTCACATTCTTTTCTCACAGGGAATTTGCACCTTTTTATGCTCTAATTATTTCTACATGTCCAGGTAGTAGCAGCTGTCAGCCTGCTTTACTACACATGGTGGGAAAGTTACCTTTTTTCTTTTGAATGTTGACCCTGCCAAAATTGTTCTTACTTTCTCACCAGATGGCTGAATTATTGTGAAGTGCTCTACAAGGAACGATGTGGTTACAGTGTTCAGAGGTTGCAGCTGCACACTGCCTCTGTAGCACTTCTCATCAGGAGCACTCTTGCCTGCTCTGACCATCAGTCTTTAGTTGAAATTCCAGATGCATTTTAGACAGAAAACTGAGAAGGTTGATTAGAAATATCAAATTACTCCTGTGTGAGAAGATAAGATAAACTTAACCTTCAGAGAGAAATAACTGAGACAGGATGTGATGCAGGTCTGTGGGAAGCATTGCTTGAAGATGGGTAGGAACTTTAAAATAATGAAAGTATTTTTTTATACAGCAAATAATTAAACCTTGGAACTCACTACCCCAAAATCTCAAAATCTCAAACTCTTTTACTTTTCCCTTGTTTTGAAGAGGCTCTAGAGAAGGTACAAGCAACTTTTTCTTGTGAGAGCTAGAAGTATAAATTTGACCCTGATTTTTGGTCTGCTGTATTCAATTTGTGTGGGTTAAACAGTGTAAAAGAGCACCCACAGGCTTCTTCTAGAGAATTTCCCCCAGTTGCTGAAATACTCTTGCCCTAAATCTTGAGGGTGTAAATCCAGTTTTGACTGCAGCTTTTCCACACATTAAGAATAGGGAAGGAAGACTGAAAGAGCTACAACCAGCCCTTTGACATCATGGCTTGAAAACAAGAAGGGTGATTTGAAGTATGCAAATCAAATACAAATGTCTGGGAATGGGTGACACTCATGATCTTGCTGGATCATGCTCTTCAATGCATAAGAAGACCTGTTTAGAAGCACATAAAGCTGAGATTTTCAGGTATGAGTATCTCCATGGGCTGCTGCAGTTAGTGGAAACTATGAGTGCTCGGTACTTCATGGAAGTCAACTTTTTGTGTGGGTAGGTGCCCTTATGCATGTCTGTGCTTTTTATTTTTTACTCTTTTTTTTTTTTTTAGTAAGAGGAGGGAGTGTTTTGTATGCTGCTAGTGATGAAGTTTTCCCATAAAGAAAAGCTACATTTAGTGGTCCAAGAAGCTGCAGTTCCTCCCATTCCTCCCTTCCTCCCTGACTTGTTTTCTCCCTGCTTCCCTTCTTCTATCTGAGTAACAATTCAAATCAGATGCCATGTTGGGAAAATGAAAAAAAAAACTTTTACATGTTTGAAGGAGAGAATATATCCCCTGTTCTCTTTTGCTTTCTTCCCTATTTGTGACCTTCCTTTTTCTGCTATAGCCCAGACCACCTCAAAACTCAAGGAGGGCACCAATGGAAGGAATGCTCCAGCGTGTGCTCTTGACTGACTTTGGCATGGATGGCCAAAGAAACTGGAAAGTGTCGTCTGACCCTTCCAATACTGTGCTCTCCTCTCCATGGGCTACCATTAACTACATCTCAGAGGCTTTCAGAAGAATCCAGAGTGAGGAAAATGTCCCCTCAGCATGCTTAACAGTGGGGGAAGAGATGGGAAGGAGTGTGAGCATGACATGGTTGGTGTATATGTTAAGAACATCCATGGTGCTGCACTTGTTCTCCAATGGAGCATGTCAAAAATAGTGTGAACAGCTCACAGGAATGAGATTCATGGCTCTTTTTTTCATGAATTCTGGAACATACCTTGACCATGTTGCAAAGGTCTGTCTGTCTCCTGAGCCTTTTTACAAACTCTTTAGCTTCTGTTAAAGAAGAAGAGGCAGATGTTTCACATTATTAATATTTTACAGTCTAAAATACATTAATAGAAGATACATTTTAAGTTAGAAAGTAGTTCCCTAGAGGAGATTTGGAGGGTAAGGGAGGGCACAGCAGAGGCACTGATCCAGCATTATGGGATGGGCTGGGGACCCTTGCAGTCAAAACTTGCAAGGAGAAGCTGCCCAGCTCACCTCTCTTCCTTCACTGTGAATCTATTAATCCATAATGTGCAGGAAAAAGTCTTTCAATATTTTATTATTTTCATTTAATACTTCCTAATTAATTCTCTGTCAAGCATTCAAATATAAGAAATGCCAAAATTAAGTCTGTCTGCAATACTGAGGATATGAATCCTAACGCAAACTTTTGCCTACACAGGAGCCCTGCTTTACCTCTGTGGAGTTGGTCTTCACTCAATGATCCACTGAGCAGCATCACGTTTTAGGCAGAATCTTCAGCTTAATAGGTATAAATATGTGTGTGTGTCTCCACAGCTTTGTAGAGAACAGATTTTTTCCAATCATCTTCTAATATCAGTCATATTTTCCCTATGGGATTATGGCTGTTTTCCTTTTATATTGGACTGGTACAGCCATTAATTAATTTATCAGCATAAAAGCACTTGTAAGAGGAAGAGACACAATAATATCTGAGTTTCAGAGGGTATGCTGCATATTATTGGTCATCTACATGGCCAAAGCAATCATGGTAAGAGACATGGCAAGATCTGTAAAAAGATTTAAGTACATTTCAATTTAAGTACATTTCAATTTCAATGAATTGGGTATACTTTTGGCTTAAGTTTGTTCTCACACATTATGCAAGACCATTTATTTTTAAATGTATCCTAACTAACTCTAATTGTTGCTGCTATCACTGTTACATCAGCTAATTTTTTTTTTAAATAATTTAAGAGTTTTGTAATACAATCTTCTCTGCAGTTTAACCAAAGATTTTTTTTTAAATATCTCTCCTACTCAAACCTACCATTAGACTTGGATGTTTGGAGCAGTAATGGAAATCCTCCCAAAGGATTAAGCATCCAACATTTAACATTTTCACTGAATGATCTGATTGAGTCTATGTGTTGTGCAGGCAACTCCTCCAGGAAATCAGGAAGTAGGATGTTCTCCAATTCCTAGAATACAAATTCATGCTGCTGCACTTGACTGGTGTACCACAGATATTTACAGCAGCATGAAATAAAATTATATTGATAATTTAAATGTAAGTGTAAAGAAACACATTTTTTCTTCCAATTAAGCAAGAGCTAAGCTAACTTTTTAGCAGAAGGACAAAGATTCTAAGAGTAAATGTTGCTTCCTGAATAAATTTCTAGACAATACTTAATGACCTGCTGGAAATAAGAAGCAAATTATTTTTACCAGAAAACTGCATATTTGTATGTAGAAGGTCCCTGAGAAATGCAGTAGTGTTCTCAAAGGAAAAGTAACTCTCACAATCTGGAAAATCATCATCAGTTGAAATTTCAGTCACATAATCTCATGCCAGAACCACAGACCACATTTATAACAGCACACTCCATTGATATTAGGAACTTTCAAATTAATATATAGGAGAAAAATGAAAGCCATCCCAAATTCTACTGTCTCCTTTCAAAACCAGAACCCATACCAGGCTGTCTCAGAGGAAGCAGAAAGATAAGAGTTGAGGAATAAACAAAAATCCCATTGTACAGCATAAAAGAAAGAGAGGGCTCTTCTCTTTACAGCTACCAAAAAGACACTAACACATAATAGCATAGCTACAACAAGGAAATGTGTGTGCAGTACCTTGAACAGATACCTATCATAGCTTTTTAACAGCTGGCATACATCTGGCAGGCACATCAGTTCTATTCTTTCAGGCTGCAGAGATGTCCAGAATGACATGATACAATCTTCCACCTGTCACACAAAGCCCTTTATGAATTTTCACTGATTTTACACTTGTGGGATGTGAAGTATGATTCAGTAAGACAACACACAGACACAGAAGCAAAGGAATGACCATGGAGATGGCCTCTTTGCCTGGCCCATCCTGGCTGGCCTCCAGTATAAGTGAAAACGTGCTGGGGAAGCAGCAACAAGCTGAACCTCACCAGCCAGTGAGGTTGAAAAAAGAGGAAAGAAACAAAGAATTGTGCCATGGATGTGAGGATGTAGTTAAAGATATGTATCCATGGCTATTGTAATGTGCTCAGCTCAGACTTATTGATGTGCCAGGAGGGCTCAGGATATGTGTACAAACTCAGATTCTTGGAGCATGTTGTGTTAACTCAGGATTTTAAAATAACTTGACTGAATGCTCCTTTTGTCCATAAATCATCATCTACCTTGGCTCAAACCATCAAGTAAATAAGATACACAGACACAGTTTTGCCCTTACAGTTGTTTGCTGTTGTCAGAGTAAATGTTATTAAAGAAAAAGCATACCTTGTCAAGCTTGGTCTCTCTCACCATTTGTAAAATAACTTGACAATAGTTGTAGTAGTCATTGGCAAGCAGTGCAATCTGTTACCAAAAAGAGGGTACAAAATGATCTCACAGGAAAAGAGCTAACTTGTTTTATGGCTGTGTACTTTCAACGTACCAGTTCATAGGGGTATGTCTCACTTTGTGCTTGTTCTCCAAAGAAGAACTGGTTGAAATCAGGAGAAAGGTAATGAAATGTCTCTTGTTCAGTCTTCAGATAAATGACAGATGGATAATACTGCAAATTCTTACTCTTGATGCATCAGAATTTATTTTGGACAATTAAAAAAAAAAAGATTGCAATTACTTTGTCAGTTTGGTTAAAGGTGTTAAGTATTTTCTTGAAGTTGTCGGACATGATTTAATAATAAGATGTATTTCTTTAGAGAAATGCTTGTCTTTTTTTAGAAGATAGGGGTGGGTGAAAAAAACAAGAAGGGCTGCCTAAATGTTTAAATCCTAAACTGCACATGAATTTCTTTTCAAAACCAGTAAATATTTAATGCTATACATATCTTCCATATATCTTTTCTATAGCACTCGTGTCACACTTGTAACCCTCTGCATAAGGCTGCAGCTAGCTGGCTGTGCTGTGGGGCTGACAGGACATTTCCCTTTGGCTGTCCTTGTCACAGCACTCATGACTGCACCTGAGCACTCAATAGAAGTAAGTCACACATCCAGCCTCTCATGCTTTCCTCACTTTGTCCACATGAGTTTGTTGCTCATGCTCTGCTGGCTGACATCCAACAAGCCTGGTGTCAGGTCATCCCATGACAGCTTGCTGAGGGGAGAACTACCACAGGTTAGTTTTGCATCTGCCCTTTTCTGTGGGCAGGGATTGTGCTCTTTTTTCTTAATAATTTCCCAGTATTTAAATACTTCTCATGACAATAAACTCCGAGCACGCTGATGTCAGCATTGAGTAAGAAAGGACATGTTGGAAAGACACTTTGTCAACAGCACGAGGGTCTGCTACTGTGGGCCTCAGGCAAGGAAGGCTGTGCCCCACTAACTCCCATAATATTCAAAACCTGATCTGTCTGCCACAATTTCTGCTCTTAGTACAGAAAAAAAAATTATTTGAGCTGACGTTAAGACAACAAAAATATTTAGCTAATGGATGAAATAGGAGTGAGGGAACTAAGCATGTAGTGAGATTACCCAGAACAAGATTATTTTGAGGAAGATGGGCTAGCTGTATTTCATCAGAACATATTAGATAGAAGTAGTAATTAAACACACAGATAGACATTTTGTTATGTCTAATGTTTCTGAAACTCACTGTTCCCGTTTTTTGTCTATTCTTCTTGTAATCAGCTTCATTTTCAGAACTCCAGGAACTTCTACTGTGATGAAATAAATAACAGAAAAAAGCAAACATTCAAAAGCTCACTGATTCATTCTGTATTTAGTAAAAAAGTGAGCTCAAACTGGATAGACTACACTACATTGGAGAATTGTATTTGGGAAACAAACCCTGCTCCCTTTCCTGTAATTTGGTAATCCCATGATTTTCTAGCAAATCTGGGACCAACTTCTGAATTTTAAGATTAAACTGAACCATTCATTTTAATGACAATTGACCATATAACAGTGCAATGTCTTTGAACTTCTTGCACCAGAACCATGGGTTTGAATTTCTATTTGCAGTTTGTTTGGAATGGAGATAACTATTACAAATGTGAAAATAACAAAAACATTATAATCCTTTTGCTTAGGTTTCACAGTTATTACATTTTCTGCATCACACAGAAGTTTATATGGCATTTTGTTTCTGACTGCTTCCCATTTTCTTTTCAAGTTGGCCATAGTGTTCCACACAGTCAGAATTTACCTAGACCTGCAAGGTTTGACCACTGACTTGTTGCTGAAAGCAGGCACAACAGGCTGCTTCCATGCTGTACTTTCTCCTAGCTCTCTCCCTGCCTGCTTTGTTGAGGCTGATGGTAGCAGAGGGAGAGGCAATATTGCTAGTAAAAGGGATATGCTGCAAAAAATAGATGTTTCCAGTCAAGCCTCCATCTGCTGCTGACACCTGCTCACTGTCTATGAAAGCATTTCAGACTCAAGGGTCCTGCTGGACTCGGCTGGCTGGAAGGGTGGCAGGCTGTCAATCAGAACCTGGCTACTGGCTTTCACTGCTGTGATGCATTACAAACCAGGGTACCACCCACCCTGAAGGGACAGGGGACAAAATGTAACAACTTATCCTCCTGTAAACTCCAGCCACTGAAAATGCTTCCTCTCCACTCTCTGTCATCCACAGGACTGCCCTTGCCACCTTTCCCTCTGCCCTACTCTGTGCCACGAAGGCTGTGCTCCAGAAAAACAACCAATTTGGCTGCCCAAGACAGGGCACAGCATCCATGCCGAGTATGTTTGGTAGAGCTGGTGACTCTTTTGCCAAACAGTCTAGAAGTGCTGACTGGACAAAGCAAACACATGTAAATAGAGAGATTTCATAACACTTCTTTCAAATAGGTCCTTCCTGAAGATTTCTAAAGCCTCTGAAATAAAATTAATGAATATTTCCCAGCTCCTGCTCTCCCTGAGAAGGCAGCCAGCCGTATCTTCTGCTGCTGCTACTATGGCAACAGGGATCAGCATGGCTCGCCTCCAGTGCCTCGGTTCCTCCAGCAGCCTGGCTCCCCACTCCCCTGACACAGGGACATCCAGGACAGACAACGAGTCCCCCAGCAGCCAGCCAGGAGCTCGGTGCTGGTTAGGTGCAAATCCCTATGGAATACTGACAAACAGTTCTGTGCCCTCCCCTGTTACCACAGGGGGCTGGGACTCACCTGGTGCTTGGCTGCACATCAGAGATGCTCACTTCCCCCGGAGAGCAGTGCCTGGGTAGAGACAGAACACACAAAAGAGGAGGTGGGTGGGAGAAGGGGAAAATGGGAGACAAAAAAAATCACAAGGAGTTTCACCATCTCCCTTGCAGGGTTTGGGCAATGCTACGAGGTGCAAACTAAAGCTAAAATGGGAAATACAACAATGGGGATGAAATAAAGAATAACAGAGAAGCAAATGGGAAGAACAAAAGAAAAATGAAAGGAGGGAAGGTGGTTGTGAATGTGCATGTCTGATTACACAGTGATTAGAAAAGTTAATTTGCTAGAAGCAATTTTTTTTTAATGAAAAAATAGTATGTTTGCTTCACTAGCCAGTCAGGAGCCTAAATCTTGCCTATTACTAGAATCAAAAAACCAGCTCTTACAGAACCAGAATTCAATGACATTTTTTAAACCTCTGAGCCAGACCAGGTACCATTTTAGGGGGAGCTTGTCCTCACAGCTCCCATTCCAAGAGGGAACACATTCTGTTGCAATACAAATCAGTAAATACCATATTCCCTCATGTCTGTAATACATCTGCAGACCTCATTGACTACAGCTGCATATATTTACACTATTTTCATAGCACCATCATCAGAGCAGTGGTACACATATCTTCAAAGCATTGAAGATTTCTAAGTGAACCAATTCACAGGTGCTGTGTAAGACCATCCTCATCACCCCTATGTGGATATGTTCCAACCCTGACACACCCGAGGTCCCACCCACCATCAAAATGCAAACACCTCCTTTGTATTTAAAGGCAAACCATTATAATCTTACTGCCATTTCTGTGACACCCACAAGCACAGATCCCAGGCTATCAGATCCTTCAGTAGCCTAATTTCTCACTACCAGCACCATGTCACTTGCTGGCTATCATGGTCAAGAAATATCCTTTGCAGTAAATACAAAGAGTCCACAATTTTGAAACCATTCTTTTCATTGCCAGCAGGCTGATGGATGCTGTGGTCTCTCAGCTGGGCTCAGGGATCCACTTTCCTCTCTGGCAGGTGTGACAGAAAAAGCATCTGCGTGTTGGATTTTATTCAGGCATGGGAGGGCGCAGTAGCTATTTAGGACACCTTCACCAGTCAAACAGATATCCCCAGCCTCTGCCTGAGGGAAGTGGCAACAAGCCAGAGAAGTCATCCCATTAGAGGGGTCTGGACAACAGACTGGCACTGGACTGCACTGAAATGCTACATTAAAAATTCTCTTCACTCTGATTTGGAAATTTCCACACAAATACACTCTCAAAATTGACATTATAGGTCAAACACCCTGCTGTGTTTACACATGTGATTACTTATATGAGAACACAATTTCTTCTTGCAGGTAAAAGAGTCATGAAGTTTTAATTACCTTTTCAAAATTTCAATTTTTTAAGTAAAAAACAATCTAGACTTTTCCAATGCTGGTTTTATCAGTTTTATTGGATCATGAAAAATTAATGGTGATTTCAAAAAGTACTGAACCCTACTGATAGGACAGCAAAGATGAGTTATTTCCTTCATTACTTAATTGCAAAAAATTTACAAAACTCCACTCAAATGGAAACTAACTCACTTATTTGATTGAAGCGGATGTTTTTTTAGTATGTGACCTAATTATTTCTTTCAGAGTCGTGCTACTCATCCTTCTCTGGCTGCATTTTGTGTTTTTCTATTGCTTTCTCTCTGTTTTCTCTTGCTGTGCTATATGAGATACCAAGAAGTAATTGTGACAACCATCTGTCCAGGTGTTGTGGGCCTGCATGTTGGCTTGGGACAGGGACATGCAGCTGAATTTAGAGTGGAAGCTGTTCTAATTACAGCTGTCTGGCTTGCCTCAACATTTTAGTGTCTTCTTAAAATTGTCTTTGATGAAGGAAGCATCAGACAAGATAATTTTGTGGTTAAGGGACTTTTCTACTGCAGCTAGAAATATCTTTGTCTGAATATGATCTTTATATTTTGATTTTTTTTAATCTGAAAAGTTATAGAATCATAGAATAGTATGGTTGGAAAGGGACTGTCAAGGGTTATCCAGTCCAACTGCCAAGGATAGGGACACCTTCCACTACCTGGTCAGGTTGCTCAGAGCCCTATCCAGCCTGGCCTTGAACAATTCCAAGGATGGGAATCCACAGCTTCTCTGGGCAACCTGTTCCAGTGCCTCAGCACCCTCACAGTAAAGAATTTCTTCCTAATATCCAATCAAAGCCTACCATTTTTCAGTACAAAGTCTTTCCCCAGCTCTCCTGTTGGCTCCCTTTAGGTACTGCAAGGTGCTTTAAGGCCTCCCTGGAGCTTTCTCTTCTCCAGGCTGAGGAACACCAACTCTCAGCCTCTTCTCAACAGGACAGGTGTTCATCTTAAGAACCAAAATCAAGACCAGTAGGTGGCTGGTTGATGTCAGTCCTTTCCCTGCAATGCACATCCTATTCCTTGCCTTGGCCAAATTAAACACGTTTTTAGGAGTAGTGTCAGGGCAGGCACCTCTGCAGCTGCTGGAGGAGGAGGAGGAGGAGGCCTGGAGCAGCCAGGGCAGCAGCTCCCCTGTGGTTAACATGACCTGCAAGGTGTTGCCCAGCCCATAGAGGAGATTTCCATGAGGAGGGCCAAAGACAGAAGCTATGCTGGCAGATGTGCTGTGTCTGTCTCCCAGCAGTGGCTAAAGTCCTTCTTTCTGCACCTGCCCCAAACTCAGCTAACATTGCTTCTTGGGGCCCTCCTACTTTATCATTTTTTTTCCTCATGTTTCTACACTGGGAAGGAAAAAAGAGCAACAGATCAAATCATTCTGTTCTCTCTCAGCTCTCATATGGCCAGAGCAATCAGCTTTCCTTTTATGCCCATCAAAATTGCTATTTTTAAGAGATGCTGCAGGGAAAGACCTTTCTTTCCCTGAAAAGGAAAGACCAGCAGAAACTTAGCCAGAGACCTGCAATATCCCTTAAGCAGTGGACAAGACCTTTCCTCATTGTGGATGTCAAACCTTAGGCCTGTTCTGGGTACACTGGGTACAGAGGAAGTGAAGGATATCCCTTCAGTAAGTGTGACATGGGAAACCAGCCTCAAATTCCCTATGAATAATTTGTTTAGTCTCACAACAACAGACTGCCAGTCAATCATCTACAGAACCTGATCCTCTGTCCTGTCTCAACATTTATCCTTGTCCCTCTATGGACTTCTGCAACATTACCTGCCATAAAACCTGTGAAGAAAGGCAACAAACCTACGGGTATACTTTTTCTGTGTTCTTCCAAAGCATGCACTCAATTAATTAAATATTATACAAAATATCACTGAAACAGTTTCAGCATCACCAGATGTCTGGGTCCTTATAGACTGACTTGTATGCCCCTAACATTCATGCCACAGAATAATGATGTATCTCCATATTAAAGGATGAAAACCTAATTACAGAATTTACCCATATACACACTAAATTAATGTACAAGATTGTAAGAGAATGAGGATACAAACCTGGTCTTCAAAGTCCAAGGCAGAGACTGCACCTAATTTTTTTCTTCAGTGTAAAGGAGAGTAAAACTGCTGCAGAATGGCAGCATTTCTCTTTTTCTTTTTTTTTTTCAATTATTTTTTTGGGAAGAAATTAAAGTCTGTGGTTTGTTTATCTGAACCATGAGCTCAACCATGAGAATTCTTCCTCTCCTGCCCACAACATGCTCCTGTCTACCCTTTAACCTACCATAGTATCTTACATTCATTTTAGGACTTTAGGCTTTTAAGTTTTGCAATCTATTTTTAATTGTCTTACACATTTTCCTATTGGTGTTCTCTTACAAGAGGTGATTTTAAAACCTGATATTTTAAAACCAAGTGAATGAAGTATTTTTGAAGTACTGTTTCAAGCAGTAAAAACCCAGATAACAAGATTGTGTGCAGGACTCTTCAAAACAGCAGAGTCATTTATACTGTAATACATTTCTTCAGCCTGCTGTTTAATGAGGAAGGTGATAGAATGTCAAGAAGCCATTTCAATATGGGTTTTTTTGAGCTCCCATTTAGAGTCTTAACATATTAAGCTCTTCTTTTAGGTTCAGCATGAGTTCCTGCTCTTAAGATCTATGTGGCTAAAACGTCCAATTTTTGGAAGTCTAATTAGGCAGTGTCTGTTTCCAAAATGCAGCTTGTCTATTAGGGCACGGCACTTAATGGCACAGCACTTTCACAGTGTTTATAATGAGAAGAAAAATACAATGCTATTGTCAATGTTCCACAGGAGATTTACAGATTTTCATGGACAGATTATCATGTGACATTTTTTGATTAAAACATTTTTAAAAACAAACCTGAGATAATTTTGTTCATACAGAAGACAGCAAAAACGTGCATAAAAGGAAGACTCCTTCTTGATAGCTATTCCATCATAATGATATCTAGAAAATTTAAAAAAATATTAACTGTATGATTTTCAACAAGTCAGCAAATTCATAATCCTCTTTTGAAAGCAGATGATCATACTGTTTAATCAAGAAAAGATGAAGTAGAAAAAGCAATATTTGTCTTTTTAAAGTCTGTTGAATGTTTATTTTCCCAAACAGAAAATAATTGCACAAACTTTTTTCCAAACTCCCTTTAACAGTTTTTGTCCTGCAATGATACCCTCTTCTAAATGAAATAAAACTTAAGCTAGTGAATGGAGTGCCTCAGATTTGTACAGGACACTTAGTGAAGTCAGGAAACAGCTTAGCAGGCAGAGGTCCCCCCACATCCCCACGGAATTTGAAGGACTTAGTGCAGCTGTTCCTCGGCCATTTACAGCAGCTCAGTGACTGGATGGCCCATCAGGGTCATGGCAAGCGAAAACTCAAGGAAACTGCCAGACCTTCTGTAAGATTCACCTGAGCTCAGTGGGAAACAGGGGTGCTGCCAGCTGGGAGCCAGGGGAGCAGTGCCTGCTTTGGGGCACCTGCAGCCCGAGCAGGTAACCCCCTGCTGATGGCAAGAGAGAGCGTGGGGGCCACCAAACACCATCCCAAATCCTGTCTGCTGGGAGCAGGAGCCTACGAGTGTCTGAGGAGAGGCACTCCCAAAAAAAAAAGAAAAAAAATATCTCCTGGCTCCAGCTGATAGCAAGTCCAGACTTGTGGAGACAAGTCAGGGCATGTTGCTCTCAAAGCCCATACTTGACAGCTACACAAAATGCTTGTAAAATTATTCAGTCTCAATGAGCTTAAAACATCCTTTTTCCTAGTCTGGATATTCAGTGTGCAAGTATAACTTTGGATACAAAAAAGCACTAAACTTTCTGTGCTCTAGAAGAGAGGGAATGGAAAAAAAAGGACATTTAGTTGTCAATCAGACAACTGAAGTTGTCTGATTTAAATAGTTTGAAACTGTACAGTATTTCCACTGACCATCAGTATACTATATGCTGGATCCACTCCATGGATGTGTGCAAGGACAAAAGAACAATATAGCCATTAATCATTATTCATGACCCCTGTGCATCCCAGAGCCAGTCTTTCCAGGCCTAGGAATGCAGTATCTGAAGAGCTCTCTGTAAAGCTGTGATGTCTGACAGATGTTTCATGCAAACTGTGCGGCTATTGGAGTACTAAGGTCTTTTAAAAAGCAGTCCAATCTGGAATTCACGCCTTACCAAAACAGATCTGGTGTGGTGGTTTTCATGGAATTAACTCTATTTTAATGTCCTTGGTTACACCATGAATTACTCTGGATCTTGGGTTGTGTTACAGACTTGCAACCAACAATTCAGCTGCCATACTACAGTGCTGGGGCTGAAAAGTCACCCACTTTAAAATAGAACATTTTAAATAACATTAGAGCGTTATAACAAATAGAAAGTTATAAATAACATTTTCAAAGAAAGGACAAAACCCAATACCTGATGCTCCCTGCTGTGGTTCGCTTTCTTGTCACCAGGCCTGGGAAAACTAACTGAATAAGCTGTATAAACAAACAGAAAATTAAAAATACTTGGCAAATTCATTCAAAGATCCAAAAATGTATCTGGCACACTTTTTGGTCTTTAATCCCTTTGTTTGCTTTTCATAATTTCCAGGCTAATACCTGTTCTTACATACCTCTCAAATGGTAACAGTTGAACTAAACTCAATCAGGCATTTGTGGATCCAAGGCTAAAGGATTACCTCTCTCAGGTAGGATTGTTTTTTATAGTTTGCACTGGAAAACAGTGCTCACACCAAGAGATCCCCTGCAGCCAGGGCAGGACAATCAGCTGGGGGAACCTGAAGGTGCCCTGATGGTCCCATAATCTGCCAGACCTTCAAGCCTTACTCATTTAAGAAGGACTTACACAAGGCTTCACCTACCCACTTACTCTTGGAAGGTGTACTGACAGGATAGGGCCAGACTTATCTGTCCTAAAAGGACAGGAATCATCAAGCTGCAAAGCAACCTTTTGACCACTGTGGTGGTGTGAACTGAGGTCATGCAGCATCTGCCAAGGCTGGGCTCTACAGAGTAATTAGATACTGTCAGGGTTATAATCCACTTCACTACGATTATTCTGCATGAGCTGTCCTGAGACTAACAGAGACTAACTCAGGACACTTGGGTCCAGGACTAACCCAGGACACTCTAATATTCTCAATAGAGCAGGAACAGAGGATTTACTCCATGTTAGTGAGGAGAGTTTCCACTCAGCAGCACAAAGCTTGCACTCTGCACAGTGTGTTGCTGGTCCAAAGGCCTGATAAAGCACTCATCAACACACACTTGTAGTTTTTATGGTGGACCTGTTCATTTCTGCATGCACCCACCCCAGCTGCTCCCTTTCTCAAATTGATAGCTTAGCATAATCCCATTTCTCTGAAAAGACAGTCTATGAAACTGGGGCTTTTGTGGCACAAGACATATCCTTCCTCCCTCTGCCATTCCTTACAGAGACAGTGATGTATTTGGGCAGAGAGATAGGGCAGATGAGACTAGTAGTGTCTTCAACCACCATAGTTTGATCCACATGGGGCTGGACTGCAAAAGCCCTTGTAGTCCACACACATGGAGCACAGTCAGATTACTACAGCTTGGTAAATTATTAATAGCTCAGCCATTTTAGGCTGTGGCAAGTGATTACACATGCACTCAGGTTTAACCAGGATGGCTGCAGCTCCTGCTCTCCTCGGCTTCTTGCTACAAGGTCCATTCTCTTGCTGCACTGGGGAGCTGCAGCCCAGCCTGCTGCTTTGGGATGTGTCAGCTTGCACTGCAATGCACTGGGTTGGTTGAGGCTGTGAGCTCAGCCCACAGCAACTCTGGCTCAGCTCTTCCATGTGATCAGACTCACGCTTCATCTGTGCCTGTCCCAGCTTAAAAGTCAAACACATTAAGGTAAACCCCACCAAGGCTTGGCTTTCAGGTGGTAACTCAGCCATGCTGGAGCACTGGAAGGGTACAGGCAGGATAGGATTAATCTCATCTACATGGCTACAAGGCAGAGGAGTCTAAGATACTCGCTGCAGTCAATGGGAAAAACAAGTGGCAGGTCTGAGGCTCTTTCATCTGAGCTGTCTGAGGCGACTCATTTAGTTTGAGGAATCATGTGTAGCTACTTATTTCTCTCCAGTGGCTACCTAGAGATTTTTAAGGTGACAAGCTTCATGGCCAATGTCTATGCTGAGCCAGGCAAATTCTACCCATGGTCTTAGCTGATGGGTGATGATCCATTAAGCTGTGGTAATAAATTACACTGGATCATTCACTCAAATATTAATTTTCAGCAAAAGTGATTTAACTTACCCAGTAAAAAAATGAGATTCAACTGAATTGAGATAAATGATTCATAGAATGGGGTTAGCCATACAAATGAAATTGACTTCAGGTACAACTTGCACTTAAATTATTTTGGACTTGTGTTAAAACAATGTTTAGTAGCTCTTACTATGGGAATTAACAGAAAGTTAGCCATATAAAATAGGAAGTTCTGAAGTCTGAATAAGAAGTCTTAAACAATAAATAATCACAATATCTTCCTTAATTTGTTAGAAAAGGTTGAACAGCTATGGGTGTTGATTGCAATTTGGATTTCTAAGTGTCAATTGTTCCATGGGTTGTATCTACCTCTATGTAATAGAAAAGTGGAACTGTTAGAAGGAGATTCAGTTCTACATCTGCATTTGTTTTGCTTGGATGATTCTGTAGCAACTTTTTAGGGTATGTTTGGAGCAAAATCTCCTCAAGTATACTGAAAAGGGAAAGTATAAAATTATGTAACAACCAAAGGTATCTTCTAAAGACAGAAGAATCATCTCCTTGGAATGAGTTGCATAACTTTCTGCTGTTAAAAAAAGAAAACTGTAAAACTTTCTAAAATATATTGGCAAAGAAATCTTTGCTATTGTATCATGCACCAGTTCCCTGAAGAAAATAAACTCTCTCCCAAACAACACTCTTTCCTCTGGTACAAATGCATCTACATGAGTGCTTAGCAGAAATACATTAGAAAACACACAAGCATAATTCATTACATATTCATTCTTCTCTGTTATTTAATGTCTTTTGATATGTGTGTAAAGTTGATGATGAGGCTTCCTCTTTAGGCATCCCTACTTCTTATCTTGTATATCCTATCTACTCTGTACCTTTCCAAAGGTGGATGGATGTACTTGAATCTTGAAATCTGGATTGCAGGTTTCAATATACAGCTCATGTAGTAGCCGACAGGGTACAGTGCATCCTCCACACAAATAGAAATTATCAGCTAGCCTTTAAAACAAAAATCATCAATTGGTTTATGTCAGAGTTAGAAAAAAGAATTGTTAGATTTTTATAGTTTATCAGATTTACAGTGAACTCGGTAATAGTCATTCTGATTTTATAGAAGCATAGAATCAAAAAGAGCTACTTCCTTTGAGTTATTCTGTATCCTGGGAAACAATATACTTTTTCATATATATATATATATATATATATATATATACACATATATATATACACACGTATACCCTCTGTTTATTTTTAACTTTTAAAGCCCTATTTTCCTTGGTTTTGACATGTAAGAGAGGTCACATGAGATTCTGCTAAGAAATTAACTAGTTCTCATAATTTTTAAATTAAAACAATACAACTTAGTAATACCATTATAACATTAACACCAATATAGACAGTATTAGAATTTCTCATATGCAAAATGTTGTTATATCAAAGGATCTAACTTCAGTCTTCTAAATAGAAGGATATCCACTATACCAGAAATAATAATATGAGCATTTTTTCACCTAAAATGTTAAAGATGGTGTTTTGGGACAGAGTGCACAAACTATAAAGGACCACATTCTGCTTTCATGATTTTAGGACAAGTTTAATAGGAGAACAGAGTTTTAATTTACAGTTACTATCTAACAGGACTGAAAGAGGCTAAGGTGTTTAAATATCCATCCTTTTGCCAAATCCCTGATTCATCCTACTAATCAGAATGGTCACAGTCACGTAAATGCAACTACTTGTGTGAATAAGGTGAGGGAAATGCAAACTTGGTTACTTATTAGCCTAAGATATTACCTTCACCAGGAAAAAATGATCTTTAACTATAAAATAATGCCAATGGTTTTGATGTCAGAAGATAACAGGCTACAGTACAAATACAGGAGCAAAGCTGAATCAAAGGAGCAGAGGGATTAATTTTCAAGGCATGACACACTGCTTGTATCACAGCGCTTTCTTGCTCTGACTGTTTCTATTCTAGCAAATTATTTATGCATATTTAATTAATTTATCAGCTGAACGCCAGTGTAGCACAGTGCCAGTTACTCACTGTGTCTTTACTGACAATTCATTGGGAAAGCAGACTGAGTTCATTGGGAAAGCAGACTTTTCCATTCACCAAGTGTGATAAGTCAGCTGGACTTCAAATCAGCATCCTCTGCTTTAGTACCCTCACTTCAGGCACCCCAGCTGTTTATCTTAGTTGCTTTGTCAGAAGGCAGTGGAGAAGGTCTGCAGCAAACTGGCTTGCTAGAACAGACTGAGCAAGCAGCTGATATTTACCTCACCTGTTATTTGTGCCTCCTCCCCTCTTTCCATTGAAGAATGCTATCTGCTTCCCCCAGCTTTCCTTCTCCCCAGCAAAAGACCCCCAAATGCCTCACCTATACCTCCTTGAAGACCATCTCCTCACCCAACAACCCAAGAGGCTCTGCTGGGCTCCCTGCCAGCTCCTGATCACCTCCAACCCCACCATCCAACAGCAAAGGCTTCATGGCTACACCTGAGCAGGAACCTGCACCCAAAGATAGGGGATCTGCTGCTCTAATGGGGTATTTCCCATTATCAGGCTAAAAGGTAAATGAAATTCATTCTACATAGGAGTCCTGCCTCCCAGCAGGCAGAAGTGCTTTTTCTTCTAGAGCATCTCAAAACTCTTCACAATTGAGCAGTCTCAGAGGAGATTATCTTAAGTTCAAATTCATCCTTAATATAACATCACAAGAGTCACTGGAAGTGCATCAGAAATTAATTCATGCTCCAGTAGCATGGTTTCTGCCAATAGTTTTTCCTCAGCATTTAACTACTTAGCAACAAAATATTTGGGAAATCCATTTAGTGAATTTTTTGTCTATTAAGCTGCCAGTCTTTTTGAAATAGTAAGTCAAACACCTTCTTAGTGCTGACACATAATACAAAAATATTTCTATCAGGAAAGCAAGCTGCACAGAAAAGAGCACAGCACTCCTCTTCTTATTTATTAGCCCCAAGGTGTTCAAAACCTGAGTTTTTATGGCATGCATCAAAACAAAACTGTGAAAAAAGACAAAAAAATCAAAATGAAAGTGTGGTAAGGCAGAAAGGTAGAGGTTAAAGAAAAAGCACAGGGGGAAAGACCTCCTCCATTCATCTACTCTTTATCCACACACTGTGTAGGGTTTTTTATCCTATTGATTTTAGGACCTCACATAGACTGCAAGTTTTTAGGATTTGCCACCTATTCTATGTGAACCCTTAGCAGCCAGGCCATCATACAGGTTGGCAAGTCTGCTGTTAAACCATTTCTAGAGCAAAATCTGGTTTGCTACTGGAAATGCACCAACTGTAAAATGAAGCTGAACATTCAAAATTTTTCAAAACAAGAAAAGAAGGTTGTCATGATGAAAAGAATCATTAGTTCATCCTTTCAAGGATTGCTTATGATTCAGTTTTATGCTGTGTCTCAGACCTGTTGAATGAATGACCTTATACGAATCTCTTCCTTCAGTTGTTTCAAAATGGGAGCAGTGGTATCTATATCACAGGGAAAACACAGACTAACTCCCACTGCTCAAATATGACTGATGGGGGGAGTAAAATTATTTAAGATCACTTGCTGATGAGTTAAAAGTTTGTATGTGTTACTGTTTCACAAAAGCTTCAACATTATTTATGAGCAGGACTCATTTCTGCTTGGGGAGACAAGTAAAGTAATCCTGGTTTCTCTGTGGCTGTCACATGGCAGATGATGCTCTTCTCAAAGCCCAAGAAAACAATTGTGTCAACCTTCTTCCACTACACAAAGTGTCTCATTAAGGAGTTCAACCTTCATCTCAAGAAAAAAATAACCTTGGAGAATGTCAAACATCCAGCATCACCCCGAGTGCCAGTGTGCCACCGGCTCGCAGCCACCTGCGTGCTCTAAGAGCCCACCAGGCACCAGCCGAGGGGATGCTCCAGGGAGATCCTCCGGGGCAGCTGCCCTGCAGCATCCCACCACGTGGATGGCTGCCGGGGCCGGATCCCAGCCAGCGGCAGGCTGAGACAAAGTCCCGTTTCCCCCATGTTAAACCACCTCCATGTCCCTAAGGCTCGTGGCACGAGGTTCCTTTCTTTTGGAAAAATTTCCCTGCTTGCTTGGTACCGTTAATGCATCACCATGATGATGGGGCCCTTGCAGCGAGCCACACTCTTGCCCTACGAAACCGCGAGAAGAGTTAAAAGGGGCACTCCTACACTCCCCGTGGCAAGACAGCTCCTGCCGGCCCCACGGGCCAGCCGAGCCAGCCGCGCCACCTCCCCGCTCCATCCTCAGCCCGGGCCCGCGCCGGGCAGCGGGCAGGGGCCAGCACCCACCACTGCAGGACGGGGAGGTACGTGAGGGAGGTGGGGCCGAAGTAAGCCATGTCGGCCGGCTCCAGGGCGGGCTGCGGCTCCGCGTCCTCCATTGGGACCGGGGTGGTGGGGCCGGGGCCGTCGGGTAACGGACGGCGGGTAACGCCCGCGCCGCGCGGCCCCGCGCCCCTCCCGCACTGCCCCGCGCCCCGCCCGCAGCCGGCACCGCGCCCCTCCCGCACTGCCCCGCGCCCCTCCCGCACTGCCCCGCGCCCCGCCCGCAGCCGGCACCGCGCCCCTCCCGCACTGCCCCGCGCCCCTCCCGCACTGCCCCGCGCCCCGTCCGCAGCCGGCACCGCGCCCCTCCCGCACCGCCCCGCGCCCCTCCCGCACCGCCCCGCGCCCCTCCCGCAGCCGGCCCCGCGCCGCCCGCAGCCGGGACCGCGCCCCGCGGCATTCCCGGCACCCACCCACTGCCCCGCCCCCGATGGGTTTGGGTTTTTTGTAGGAACTGCGGGCGAGAAAAGGAATTCTGTCCGAATCGGAAAGCGGCGTACATGGCCGATCGTGCCGCGGTATTTCTGAATGTCACCTAGTGGCAGGAGAAGAGGGAATAGGCTCAGCCTCAGCGTAGGTTTGGATTATGTGGTAGGAAAGAATTCTTTACTGTGCGGGTGCGAGGCACTGGCCCAGGTGGTCCAGAGAAGCTGTGGATTCTCCGTTCCTGGAGGTGTTCAAGGCCAGGTTAGATAGGGCTCTGAGCAGCCTGGTCTGGTGGAAGGTGTCACTGCCCATGGCAGAGGAGGTTGGGACTCAGTGATCTTTATGGTCCCTTCCAACCAGGCCATTTTAGTCTGTGATCACAAGTGCCATCCCAGAAGGTTTTGCACATCTTTAAAGCCTTACTTTCAGAGTTTTCAATAGGGATGCTGCAAACTCCCATAATTGTTTAATTTCTCTTTGATACAGATAGATGAAAGGTCTGTCTGCTCTGCTGAAACCCTGTAAGCACTTTTCCATCACAAGTATCCATTATGCAAAATGAGCTTTGCTGCCATGTGACTGACAAACATAAATTATGTATGGCTGGAGCATCTAAAAGCGTACTAGTCCATGGCTTTGGGTTACATCAGAGCTCAGCTTCTCAGAAGCTCCCACAGCTCCCTCCTGTTAATTAGCTTCCTGAAATCCCCATGTGTGACACAGACTGGCTTGCTTCCTTCGTTATGACAGTATGACCAAAGCCTACACGTTGGTAGACAGCAGTATTAAAGTGGGGGTAGGGAGCACAACACCAGGAAAGGGAATTTAAAGTGGCAGGTTACTGGTTTTCTGGTCCCTTGATGTACCTTGTTTTTGAGGAGCAGTGCACACAGATGTCATGCATGGTACAGGTTGCTTTGAATCTGTAAAGCCTCATGCTGTGTTGAGAAGCCCATGGGAAGATGATGCTCACACAAGGGCCCCTGAACAAAAGCCTTGAAAATGCTGTTTGCCAAAAGCACAGGTTAGTGTTAGTAGTTGCATTGTAACCAGCCCAGTGTGCCATAACTGTGCTTAATGGCTGATGGTGGGAGCTTCCCTCAGTAGCTGCAGTTTTTGGTCTTGATTTTGTTTGTCTGCAGTCTACTGACCCCCTCTGTGGGACACTTAGACAGCAAATACTCCTGCAAATACTGGAGAGTAAAAGCTTTTCAGGTTGGAGTAGCTATTGCAAGAACTAACAACAGTAATACTGCAGAGCTGAGGCTTGGGTGGCATTACCATTTAAGTGTTATCATTATATTGCAAAGGTTTCATATTGTTGTCTCCTTAGTGCAAGAGTTTCGTACCGCCTTGATGTTTCCCATAGGCAGCTCCTCTAAGCACTAACTCTTTCTTCTTCTCACACTAGCCAACTAATTCCAGTTCCCCTCAACCAACCCATACACCCTTTTATAACACTCTTCTTATTGGCTACAGCTGTGGCCTGTTAAAGTCAGGCCTGCTCCTAATCTTTAATAATTAACCCAGCTGCAACTCTTTAGCGGGGTAAGATTACTTTCTATGCTACCTTTATTTACTTATATTCTATTCCCCTACATTGAAGTACTCCTGGAGCTTCTGCAGCAGGTCTGGCAGTAGGTGCTGCCCGGGGCACTCGCTGCCAGTTCAGGTGTGCCTGTCCCTTCTGCGCTCAGAGCAGTGCCCATGCACCTAAGGAAGAGGAAACCTCATCTCCAGTTTCCAACACATGGCTTGCTTATGTGTTTGCATGTGCTTCTGAGTCCTGGTCTTACTTCTCAAGGTTCATCACCAACAGCTGACTTTTTGGGACTGTCTGAAACTCTACACAGGGAAGTTCCCTAAGCCCAAAAACACCTTACCAGGAAAAATCCCCCCCAAAAAATCATTTACGACTTAGTTAAAACCGAAGAATGACAAATAGAATATTACTGTGGTAACAGACTGAAATAAGGGAAATGATACAGAACAGAAAGTCCCTGGACAACACCTCAGAAAAGATTTTGGTGAAAAGAAGCAAATGCTGCACAAAAAAACCTGTCCAGTTACTGTCCATGGCTGGAGAGATACCAATTAGGTCACAGCATTTTTCCTGCCCAGTTTGCAGATAATGAGATAGACAGATCTGTGTTCAGATGTTCAAGTCTTGACATGCTTTTATTTCATTAGGGCTTTCCCATTTTTTTTCCAAAAATGACTCTTCACCTCTCAGATAATTCAGATAATTCTAACATGTGCTTTTTTTTTTTTTTTGGCAGGAGGGAGAGTGAGTGGGAGAGAAGGGAGATTCTGACTTTAAATGCCAGGCTGTTAGAAGAATTTGGTAGAAAACCTGAAATCAGTTTCTTCAGCTTAAACCAGTCAGATAGGACTGGTGGATATAGATTAGGTCAAGCTGTAGTAAGTCTTTATTCTTGCATAAGCTGAAAGCTGCAAAGCTCTTTATTGCTGTCATGGACATACTCCTTGCATAAAATTACAGAGTATATAATGAACGTGCACTTTGACTGAAAAAAGATTTGGAATAAAATTAGGAGTATGGTTGAACTGATTAAAAGGTGTATAAAAAAAGCTTCCTTCCTCTGACTTTCACCCATAACTAGGACAAATTTAAACCAAACTTTGAGGTAATCTCCAAAACGTTGTAAGGAGTGTCTTTAGCACAAAATTGCCTGTTCAGATTACTGTCTGCCCTCAGTTCCCCCATCCCATATTCAAGAGAAGATTTGGATACCTTGGGAGATTTGGATGCCTTGTAAGGTAAACAGATTATGTAAGAGCTCTTGCTGGTGACAGCTGTCTTGTAAAGGCAAGTGCTAACATCTCTCAGATATTTACAGTTTCAAAAAAAGTGCTTTATAAGATTTTTTAATACTTAAGCAAAAGTATGTATGAAACAGTCATTAAAGCAAGTGAATCTACTACAGCTTCCACCACTACTAGCAGCAATGAACACATGTGTCTATAGGAAATTGTATGTTTCCCCTAGAGCTGCAAAGGCCTGCAGGGTATATTCATTCTCATGTAGGAAGGAATGGGTAAAAGAGCTTGAAAAGGAAAGTCAAAAATAAGAATTCTTCCCTCACACCCACCAAACTGAAGTCCTGGAGCAACGTATTATTAACTTTTCCATACAAAAAGTTAAAAGAATTGGGTCACAGTGTAAGAGTCCCATTGGACAAAGTCAAATATCCCAGTTTGAGAAACCAAATGTCAGTACATTTTATGTACCGTGTCAGTACATTTTATTAGTTCGGCATTTGTTTGTTTGTTTTTTATCTCTACTAGTTGGCCTACCAGAGACAAAATTACATCTGTGTAAAAGTTTACTCATTTTCTTCTCCTTTGAGATCTGAATAATGCCAATGATCAGGCATTACCTAAATCTGATCAGTTTACTATGAGCAGAGATCTTCAGTCATAGTTTCCTTTTAAACTTTAGTTTGAAACAGATCACTTGAAAGAATCAAACAAATCCAATGCTTTAACATTATAAAATGCTGTGTCCTTCACAAGCCACGCACTTGGACATGAATGCACATGAGGAAGAGGAAGGCTCCTCTCCCAAGTGCCTACAGCATGTGAGTTCTTGTATGTTTGAAAATCCAATTCAGCAAGTTTGTAAGACTGCTTCATTTCAGCAAAGCATTTAAGAATGTGCTTAAATTTAAATATGTACTTAGCTGAATCGTTCTGCTGAGTGGGGATTGATGGCTGAATTGAGGCATTAAGCATTAATGAGGGAGCTGGGAACACAAAATAATATGTAAATTGGGATGTGTCCTGTCATGACTAGAATAAACTGATTCAAACAATGCAATCATTGCATGACTAAGATCTCTTGAAAGATGTGAAACCATTAGAAATACTTAAGGCCTGGTGACTGGAGATGGGGCACAATCACCGACAATCACTCAATCCTTCTTCACTCAGATCACCTCAGATCACCTGGTTTTGGAGTGTCTGGTCGAGAGGCTGGGTGAAAATCTCCTCCAAACAGTAACTGAAACACTTATCTGACTGTTGCCACATCCTTAATTCCAGATGCTGCCCAGGCTGTGTCATCTACTGATCTTCTTTTAACTGAGATGAACGATGGATTCTTTGACTGCTTTTGGTCCATCCTCAGCTGGTAGCAGGGTCTGTCTGAGCAGCTCTGTCCCTCTGGTCTGGAGAGGCTCTGCTGTGGCACTTCCCACGGAGGGCTGCTGGTCACTCTTGGTGCTCCTGCACGGGCCAGTGCCGCCAGGAAGGTGACGGTGGAGCTGAGCCCTGTGCTTCCCACTGTTTGCTGACACCTGCTCTTTGTATTTCTTGCTCTTTAGTCCAGCTTAGGGCAGCCAAACAGTTTATACAGTGACTCATGAAGATGGAGATATGGATAAAAGCCTATCTGTCCAGAAGAGGCTGAGGTAATGCTTGCAGGAGAAAGCAACTGCTTCATTTCTGCTTGGCAGAAGATGTGGTGCTTGCTCCTCCAAGTAGAAATAGCATTTTATGATGCTTCCCTGGTACATTATTTTTGTGGTTTTGTTTTGTTTTCTACATTTTGGATGCATAGTGGAGTTAACTTTCTGTTTAATAGAACAATCTATTATAAACAGCTGTG